GGGCAGCGGTTCAGACGGTGAAGAAGTTCGACGCGAGCTCGAATAAGAAACCGGTGACGGTGGTGAACGTGAGGAAACTCGACGAGGTAACAGAGCCTGCGGCGCTGGACAAGGTGTCGACGGAGGTGAGACAGGCGATACAAAAAGCGAGGGGAAGATAAATGCTTCGGATAGAGCTCCTCTAGGAACTGGGACTCAGAGTCGTCGATAATAGGTTGTGGTCGGAACAAGATCTGCAACCGATAACCGTCGGCCGCGTAGCGAACAGTAATGCTGGCTCTGATACCATGAAAAATTTCGGAAACCTTAGATCCCCCATTTTCATTGATATGTTATGATACATATACAAATTCGATCATGTCTTTCCTAATCTAAAAGGAAAATGCAGAGCTTTCTAAAACTTCTAAATCCTAACTATATAGGGAATATACAAATCCGGGATGAGGATGAGGATGAGCCTTCAAATCCAGGATGAAAGCGATGTGGATTGCGAGTGCCCAGCTTGGGAAGGAAAAAATCAAATCGTTTTTGTTCAAGAGCCTTTGTGAAAATGTCGTCAACTTGTTCACCGGTACGGACATAGGAAGGCGCAATGGTGCCGGCTTGCAGCTCATTGCGAATGAAATGACAATCAACTTCAATATGTTTGGTTCGCTCATGGAAGATAAGGTTTGCGGCAATGTGTAGAGCAACTTGATTGTCACAAAACAAGCGTATAGGTTGAGGATGAGATATACCCAAAGACGACAACAGACCTTTTAGCCACTTCAACTCACAACTGGCAGTAGCCATTGACCGGTATTCAGCCTCGGCAGAGGAACGGGAGACAGTATGTTGTTTCTTAGTCTTCCAGGAGATAGGGGAATGTCTGAACATGACAAAATACCTAGTAAGAGAGCGACGAGTTAGAGGACAACTCGCCTAGTCGGAATCACAATAGGCATACAATTGCATATCACTATCAAAGCGCAAAAATATTCCTTGACCAGGACGTCCTTTCAGATAATGAACCACACATAATGCCACATCCCAATGATCAACACGAGGACACTACATAAATTGAGCCAGGACATGAATGCAATAACTGAGCTCTGGTCGTGTAATGGTTAAATAAATCAAACGGCCCACAAGACGTCGATATCGTTCAAGGTCATCCAGGAGTTCTCCATCAGCAAGGGCAAGTTTATGATTTTCTTTGGCAAAGAAATATCCCCGATAATCTGTGACTCACTTCGATGCCCAAAAAATATTTAAGAATACCCAAGTCCTTCATGTGAAAACACTAGTTCATATACTGTTTAAATTTGTGTATGAACTCCGGGTTATTCCCACCAACGATTAAGTCATCAACATAAACTAGGACGTTCAAGACAACCCCATTCTTGCGATATGTAAATAAGGAATAATCGAAATAGGACTTTTCAAACCCAAAAGTTTTCAAGGCAGCACCTAACTTAGAGAACCAGTTCCGGGGGGCTTGCTGCAGACCATACAACGATTTCCGGAGTTTGCATACCTTTCCAGTTCCGGAGGCCGAAAAACCTAGAGGAGGTTTCATATAAACCTCCTCATGGAGATCACCATGCAAAAAAGTATTGTGGACATCCATCTGATGCAATTCCCAATGTTGGGCCGCAGCAACTACTAAGAAGGTTCGAATTGTGACCATTTTAGCCACAGGGGCAAAGGTCTCATTGTAATTAAGACCTTCAACTTGAATGTTGCCCAAGACTACCAACCGTGCTTTAAATCTTTCAATGGATCCATCAGAGTTGTACTTGATTTTGTAGACCCATTTACACCCAATTGTCTTTTTTCCAAGTGTGAGGTCTTCCAAGGTCCATGTCCCATTGTCTTCCAAAGCCTGTATCTCTTGGCGCATAGCTTCGCACCACCGAGCATCAGTCATTGCCTCAGAGAAACGAGTAGGTTCTCGGCCCGCAGTAACAACTGCCAAGAAATGTCTTTGTTTCATAGAAAAATTATCATACGTCATATAATGAGTTATGGGATAAGGAGTACTTGAGGACTGAGATGATGCAGGAGAAACAGCGGAGGGGTCTAAGCGACGAGCTGAGTGTGTGACAAAGTCCTGTAAATAGTTGGGGGTCCACTTTTCTTGATGTCCGCGGCCTAATACCTCCGTGGTGGGCTGAGGAGTAGCTGGAGTTTCATTATCTCTGTAATTTGTATGGCTCCTTGTCTCATCAAGGGGACCTGCCTCCTCATCATTACCCGTGTTCGGATGTCCTTCACCGGTCGTGTCGCTCCCTCTGACTTCTATATGAGGTGACTCAGATACCATTTTAGGAGGAGTAGCCCAAGGCAACCCAATATTTTCTTTGGCCACGGAAGGACTGATTACAGAGGGTTGATGTTCCGGAGTGGCAAAGGGAAACTCGGCCTCACTAAACACCACATCTCGTGAGACGAAGTAATCACCAGACTCGAGGTTGTACAATTTCCACCCCTTTTTCCCAAAAGGGTACCCAACAAAGACACATTTCCTACTCCTAGCGGCAAACCTGTCATGGTCCCTATTACGCGAGAAGCATAAGCAACCAAAATCTCTAAGATGTTTGTAAGAAGGACTTTGTCCAAATGGCATCTCGTAAGGTGTTTTACCACCAAGAAGGGTCAAAGGTGTCCGGTTAATCAAGTATCCTGCAGTCAAAACACACTCACCCTAGAAATTGATCGGAATATATGCTTGAAACCTGAGTGCTCTGGCTACATTCAAAATATGACAATGCTTTCTCTCCACACGACCATTTTGTTGTGGTGTCTCAACGCAGGAAGTTTGAAATAAAATTCCTTGCTCGTCAAAATATGACTTCAAGGATTTAAGCTCTGTTCCATTATCACTTGTTACCACCTTAACCTTCTTATTAAATTGTCGTTCCATCATGACATAGAAATTTTTGAATGTTCTACCAACTTCACGTTTTTCAGCCAGCAAATAAATCCAAACTGCTCGAGAATAATCACCAACAATTGTCAGAAAATATACCGCACCACAAGATGCAGGTACTCTATAAGCACCCCATAGGTTACAATGAATTAATGCAAAACAATCAGTCACCTTATTGCTGCTTTGAATAAAAACATCTCTAGATTGTTTTGCCTTTAAACAAAATCACAGGTTTTGTTCTTACTATTATTGAGATTAAGAAGTAAGCTAACCGTTTGATAAGAAGGGTGTTCTAATCTCCGATGCCACAAATCACATGACCCAATTCCATCTGTGTGTAAGCTCGAACCAATGCCACACCCTTCAAGACATAGACCCCATCAAGTTGTTCACCCGCACCAATCAGAGTCATCAAGACGCAGTCTTGTATCACACACAACTTATTAGTAAACGTCACAATATAATCTGTGTCACGAAGTAACCGACCTACTGACAATAAATTACAATTGAGTTTTGGGACATATAATATGTGCAGCAATTTAAAATTATTTCCAAGTTCAACGGTGCTTTATTTCACGGCCTCAGTGTGCGCACCGTTGGGTAACCTAACAGGACAAGGTGCAACATCATAGGTGTCGACGAGCACATTTAAATTCCCTATCATGTGATGTGACGCCCCAGAGTCAACAATCCATTCAGTGGAGTAAGTCTTACCAGAGAGTTTTTCATTAGTCTTGGTTTTGTAAGCATAAAGCATGCTTACAAGAGTTTGCCATTGCTCGTCATTAAGCCAGTTCAGTCCGGTCCTGTCTCCGTCAGTTACAGCCGCATTAGCAGCCACCTCACGCCCTGCCGATGACTGAGCAGCATGAGTTTTCGCTGAACCTTGGTTACATCCGCTAGAGGGTCCACCCCCTTTTCCTCGACCTGCTCCATGCCCGGTCGACGTACAACGGGGTCTATCTCCCCACCATTCAGACTTACTTGAGCTCTCACCGTTCCTTTCGTTGTTGGCAGCCTTGGTAACCGGTCAGCAAGATTCGTCCGAGCTGCTTGATTATTGCAAGAAACACGTAGATGGACGATCCTAATGAGACTCACGAAGAAATCAGAACAAGTGAGCCCGCCGATTCCGAGTCAAACCCGAGCTCCTGCTTGGTTTCTTCTGATCCCGCAACGCCGAGCGAAAACTAGACATCGTCAAAGCGGAAGGACCGAGAAGCTTCCTTATGATGGCAGCGAGAGTTCGAGCGAACACAGTAGATTGAAACCTGAACAAACTGTGGAAAGATGGCAGCGGGAGTTCGCGCGACTTAAAACAAACGAAGAAAAACAACAGAAGATGCCTGAGTCAATCAGCGAAGCAGCAGAGAACGAAAACCAAGAAGATGGGAAGAAGCCACCAGAGTCAATCAGCGAAGTAGCAAAGAACGAAATCCAAGAAGATGGGAAGAGGCCTACTCTGTGGAGAGTCTAAAAAAATGAAATAAATAACAGAGCACTCCCCTGCCTCACTCGCACTTTAGTGCTGGTATCAGAAATCGTCGCCTTCTCTTTATCCATCGACTCAAGGATGCCGAGCAGATTTCCTGGAGCCCTTACTCAGGACTGGGAACCAATCGTCCTGCACAAATCCAAGCCCAATGCCCTGGCCCTCCGAGATTCCAAAGTCGTGAACCAGGCCTTGCGTTCCGGGGTAGCGGTTCAGACGGTGAAGAAGTTCGACGCGAGCTCGAATAAGAAACCGGCGACGGTGGTGAACGCGAGGAAACTCAACGAAGGAATAGAGCATGCGGCGCTCGACAAGGTGTCAACGGAGGTGAGACAGGCGATACAAAAAGCAAGGGGGAAGATAAATGCTTCGGATGGAGGTCCTCCAGGAACTGGGACTCAGAGTCGTCGATAATAGGCTGTGGTCAAAACAAGATCTGTAGCCGATAACCGTTGGTCGCGCAGCGAACAGTAATATTGGCTCTGATACCATGAAAAATTTCAGAGGCCTTAGATCCCCCGTTTTCATTGATATCTTATAATATATACAAATTCGATCCTGCTTTTTCTAATCTAAAAAAGAAATACAGAGCTTTCTAAAACTTCTAAATCCTAACTGTACAGGGAATATACAAATCCGGGATGAGGATGAGGATAAACCTTCAAATCTTAGATGAAAGCGATGAAAGCCTTGAAAAAAAATTCACCTAATAGAATGCCCCATAGACTTTTATAACTGAATTAAGATATGTCGCCATGCTCATGGATTGCTAGAAATTTGCTACCCTCCAATGTATATTCGGTGTAGCATCTTTATGTAGCATCTTCATCACTTAACTCACCCCAAAAAATAGTGGTGACCAACAAAAAATATTTGTCAACCCTGAAAGCAGCAGTTCTCACCATCACCTTGCTTTCATCTTTCACCATTAATTATCTAAACTCACGTCATTATTGAAGATGCAACGAAAATAATTAATTCTCTTCTGTTATTAATTAATTAATACTTCACTACAGATGAGGCCTGACGAAATCCAATTGATGAAAGCCTGACGAATGCAAACAAGGCAGTACTACATTCACCATTCAGCCACCAGCCCACAGATCTAAATCCACTGCTGCTGCTCAAAATTTAGAAAAAAACAAATATTTTATAATAAAACACACTGGACTATATAAACTCTTTAACCAGTAGCACCATTGCTAGAGTACGTTACCCAATGTTTTCTTTTTTCTTTTTTTTTTTTTTCAATTTGCCAACTTTCCTTATAGCATTAGTATGCAATAATGCCCATCATTAGCTAATAATGTGCTTTATCTTAATTTAACGCGCTCAATTCAGCGTGCTCACCCGAGCGTGCCTAGCTACTAGATAACATGTACTTGATCTGACGACTTTATTCGATAACAAATCACTTTATTCGATAACCAGGCATTGATCGTGTAGTAGCTCCTTCATGGAACCTGATGGTGATACCCGCTGCTTGACGCAATCATAATTACTTATCTTATGTCCGGAGAATTCATAACTGTTAGGATTAAGCTCTGAATTACCGATTAATTAGTATGACAAACAAGAAAATAATTGAGAAATATATGAATTATAAAGTAAATAATAAGAGCAAAAGAAAGGTAAAGATGGCACCAGATTTATGTGGTTCGGTCAAAGAGATCTACATCGACGGGAAAAGAAAGACTTGCTTCGGCTTGAGGATCTTTCTTTGTGTCACCACTTGCCTGATGTTTCTGCTTATTTTGCAACTTGAAACATTCAAGCTTAACATGACCGTTCTTTTTGCAGTAGTTGCAAGTCAAATTACGATGCTTTGACTTAGACCGACCCTTTGACTTACTGCTGCCACTTCTTTCAGATGGCCTGCCACGAACAATGAGACCCTCGGTTGTAGAGTTACTTGGGTTATTGCTCAGTTGATTATCAATCAGTTCGCGTTGTAACAATGCATTCTTTACATCTTCAACTGTAATCTCCTCATGCCCATACTATAAGGTCTCTCTAAAATGCTTATATGATGCAGGTAAAGAACATAAAAGAGTGATAGCCAGATCTTCATCATCAATTACAACATCAATATTTTGTAGATCCATGACAATCGAGAAAAACTCATCAAGATAGGTTTTAATCAGTTACCTTCCTGAAAATGATGGTCTTTAAGTCTGCTTTTCAACAGAAGTCGATTGGTGACTGTTATGGTCCCA